TGTTGTTTGTATAATATGTCATTTGTATACCTGGAGTCTTGTAACACAAATAATTTCCCCCTGGGATTATTAAAGTATTTCTGATTCTGATTTTGATTGATTCTGACCAGTTAATGCCTGCATGTATTAATGTTGACCAATAAGAAGCAGCAGAGTGGCCCGCTGCATTCCTGTCCAGAGTTGTTCTCCTGCATGGATTTCTCTCTTCCTGGATTCCTAGGTCAGTGATTCCAAAAGTAATAGTGGTACTTGTATCACCGGAGGTAAGTAATGGATAAGTGGCTGAATTTGCTAAAAATAATGAACAAGTGGTTGAAATTGAATCACTAGGTGAGTTGGAAACTCTAAATTGCCGGTTGGTATAAACTGAGTATGTCTGAGTGTGAGTCCGTCTGTCTTTAGCGTTAGTGTTAAAGTGTAAGTGTTGTGCTTGACTTGTAACCTGTACAGGGTGTTTCCCGCCTCTTGTACAATGCATGTCGGGAGTGACTTTAGCCCCTTACAAGGCTCAACAGCATAAAGCAGAAGTGATATTACAGTGTTTCCTAAACAGTTGTTTTTCATGTGCCAATTAAAGAATAAAGGGCCATTTATTGTAATGTATTGTTGTATTGTATCTAATTTCTAAGAACAGGCTCTCCAGGGAATCCAAACAACAGTAAGAGATCAGAAAAACAAACCCCCAAACACAAACACTAAACAGAGCAGAACCCAACACATGCATGGGGTATATACGTATACTATATATATATAAAGAAAAATATTCACTAAGGGCATCAAAAATCAAGAAGAGGCAGATTTTTGGGAGAAAGGAGAAATCAATGAACTCAACAGTGATGTGCAGCAGGTAGCATAACCAGCAGCTGCAGCACGGTGAGGAAAGGTCTGTCACATTGTCTCATTGTATTGATTGAATGTGACAGATGCCTTTATTAAATGTCACTTGTAATTACAAGAGTCGAATGACAGTCTGCATGAGTACAGTGATCTGCCAACTAACAAGCTGCTTCATTATATAATTTTCTTCAGGTATGTGAACAGCATAGATGACTGACAGCAGGTTTCTGTCAGGGTAGTGTGGGCTGTCAGTGATGGCTCGTCACCCAATGTACTTACAATTACTATAGGTAAGGAACAACTAACTGTTAGCTGTAACATTAGCTATTTCTGCAAACAGGATTTTATACTGACATAGAAAGCAGACTTTTAACTGTCGCCTGCATTTTGACTTTGGTGTCTTTTGTTGAGTTATATGCAAAGTGCCAGATGGATGCCAGAGGTACATGGTACATTTATTACAGGGGTTATACTGGACAACTATCCCAGGATAAACAACACTATATGGGGCATCTAATGTGATTAGTGTTACCTCAGCTACAGCAGAGGAAGATGGAGAGTCCAGAATCTTCCTCTTCTTCCTGGGACCAATGGCTGCCAGAGCAGTCAGGTTGGCCTCCCTCTGTCTCATCTGAGCCAGCTCCTGTTGCTGCATCTGGACAACGCACACATACCAACACGGACATCAAGCAAACAATGCAAAAACATGCAGAAACAGAGACTAGTTGACTATTCTCTCATCCTACCTCTTTTGCCTTCTGTTTCAGACGCAGCTGCTCTGGGTCCTCTTGCCGAGCTCGAGACTGCAATACCAAAAGCAAGACACATTGATAACAGATCCCGGCAGAGGACAGACCAAAGCCCAGGTTGTGTAGGACTAGAGATACTGTGGAATTGGCACAGTAGTCCATTCTGCATAAATATATCATGAGTTTGAGATACTACTACTTGTTTTGACTAAGCCTGATTTCCCCTGAACAGTGCATTTCCATCAATACTTACATTGAAATAATTAAACATCTATTCACTAACTTTTTTTTCCATTTTATTCTTTATGTCACTTCTCTATTGGAATTTAATTTGGAGATAAACATTCATCCCCCATTTGATATATCGCATAGCACATTTGTTAGATGCTGTACGAGTTACATCCTAACATCCTGAGGCTGAGCCAAAATCAATCGCAGGTGACCTTTAGTAAAACTTTATAGACTATAATGTACCTCTGGAGAAGAGAACAGCTGCAGGATACCCAAAGACTAAATGTAGGCCAAATAAATCAGCATTGATTACATACCTGCTATTATTAATAAATGGGCCTTGATTTCACCTAAACAATAAAAAGTAAAAGATGCCACAGTATAGACATTGGAATAATAAAATGTGTGAACTATCAAAACCTCACACTCTATTACAGGGCTATTTATTTACACTCCATTTGAGACATGATACCTAAATCCACAGTTTCCTTCTTACTCCTCACCACAAACATGCCACAAATCGTGAATATTTGTGTAAATGAAATTACCAATAGCCTTGGGACATACATCAATCAGCCATAACATTATGAGCACTGACAGGTAAATGAATAACACTGATTATCTGGTTATCATGGCACCTGCCGGTGGGTGGGATATATCAGGCAGCAAGTGAACAATTTGATTGGTGTATTATTTTGATGTCTGCCAGTGATGCAGTACCTTAGCTGCCTTTAGGAGGATCTCTCTCTCCTGTTCCTCCTTGCGTTGTTTCTCTAACTGGTCCAGCTGCTCAAAGAACTTGAGCTGAGCACGAACATCACTACTCTGTTCAAAGTTGCCATCCTCCTGCCAACAGACAGCGGTGTTAAATGTTATCCCACAAAAGACCAAAAGATTACAGGAGAGAAATTAGTGCATATTCAAAACATTGTAAGATGTATCTTTCATTTGCATGCTAACAACAACATTGTAAATACAGTAGACCCCTTTGTGTCTTAGCACCAGTATTTTTTGTCTGCAAGAAATGCTAATCTAAACCATGGCACTGTGTAGATCTCTCTATAACAGGGATCTCAAACTGCTGGCCCGGGGCCCAGTAAATTGAAACTACCCCTTCATATACAAATAAAATAAAAACACAATGCTGTTTTTAAAAAATGTGTGCCAAAGGTTGATAAGAAGAGAGATGGTTTCAGAGCTTCACTTGTTGTTTGGCTGCAAACAACAAAAATGTTTTAACATTATGATATAAAATGTAAAGAAACTGCTGTTTGCATTTTTTGTTAAGCATGATGTTAGGAATGGTAATATGTTCAGCGTAGTGCACATTCTTGAACACTGAAGTGGCCTTCCTATGAGATGCTCCCCACCTGCTCTATAATGACACTGTAAACAAACCTTGAAATTGACATTTTTCTGCTGGGCCACTTGGGTAACTTTTTCCAGCAGGTTCTGGAGCCGCTGCTGAGTAGCATGGGAGACATAGTTCACCACCTCTGCACCCAGGTCTGTCACACCATACCTCCTGCCTGGAAAAGAAACAGCAAGATACCTTTGGGGCTTTAGGAGGTGGATGCATAGATGTTGTATCGTCAATAATGCTGTTGAGTGTCTCACCAATCTCCAGCATTCTCCTCTGTAGCATGGCACAGGAGAGAAAAGCCTCATCCTTACAGGAATGTGTCACAGCTCCCACTAGTCCAGAATTGGTTGCTAGGATATTAGCGCTTTCCTCTGATAGGTTCACTCCAGCCATGGAGGCCACGTCGTTGATATCGTCATCATCTCTGTGAACATAAATACAGTAAGGCAAACCCAAACACTACACTAAATATCATGAATCCAGATCAATATCTCATGCAGGTGTGGAAAAAATAGAAAATTCCCATCAACTGTTATTCATTTGTCCAGCTGCATATTGTTTAAGCTATAAAATATTAGGAATTAAATTAAATAAATCTCAATTTTATATTTATATATATTTTGAGGGGCATGGGGTGCCAGCTCTACCAGTTGGGCTACCATGGCGTCCCATGAACCTTTCCCATTTTTATTTTTCTGGGCGAGTTAGAAAAGTTCATTGTAAAACTACAAGTGATGCTAATACTAAAACCTGCGTGATAAACAACATTTATGATCAATCTGATTGGATATCTGTTGTCTTTCTTCTTACTTGAAAGTACCACCCGCCTCTTTCAGCTTGTTCTTCTGAGCCGGGGTCAAGGCTGCAGCACAGACTTGTTTAGAAACAGGCGGCACCTCTGGCCTCACAGGAACTGGCAGAGACACAGAAACACAATATATATTACAGGTCACCCAAAGAAAGACACACACATACACATACAGGGCTGTATTAAGACTGACATCCTCACCTGGCTGCAGCTCTTTAAGCTGGACCTGCTGCTGTCCGAGTATGATGCGGCCAGGGGCCTGATTCCTGAGAGTCACCATGGGGGTCGTCGGTAAGGTTACCTGAGGTCTCAAAATTGCTCTCTGCTGCTGAGGCTGAAGAACCTACAAGGGTAACATTTCAAAAGCAGATTTTGTAATTATCACCACAGTTACATTTACGCTTTATGTTTTATTGTCTAGAACTATTTGCCTTATATTTTATATAACTACACACTCTAAAAAATTGAGTTGATTGATATTAAAGTCAGTTTACCAGTGTGGGGGTCTGCCCTGGTCTGCCAACTCCAGGCTGCAGCTGGGGCCTGCTGACTGGAGCAGTGAGGCGGGGGCCTGGGCTGCCCAGGACCACCGTGGTGGGGGTGGTAGAGGTGGAGGAAACTGGAGCTGAGGCCAGCTGGGGGAGCTGACTCTGCTGGATGAAGGCTGCTGAGTCTGGGGTGAGCTGCCTCAAGGCTGGGAGGCTTCTCTATGGAGGACAAACAGATGGATGATCATTACAGAAATGCACTTGAACATGACATTCTGTCTGCTGTGCTCTAAGGTAATATAAAGCACATTTTACTGATCTTTGATGAAAGGTATATCAATGAAAATGAAAACAGAATATAAGCATTTTTACCTTGAGGAAAGGCACAAGGTAAGGTTGTGGTGAGGAGTTTAGCTCTTTGTATAATCTGCTGGTGAATTCCTCAGCTTCCAGTTTTCCCTCCTAGTACAACAAATAGGCATAAAGAGTTGGGAGTGAGAGCTGTCACATTTGTGGTTTTCCACTTTTAAAAAGGGGATATTTTTAGAGCTTTCATTTGTCAATATCCTTGTGAAATGTGAAACATGTATACAATATAGCAGCTGACAGGTTCATGCGTGTCTCCTGTATGTATGCCTCACTCACCAGCAGGTCCTTGACCAGCTCTCTCACACTGGCAGCAGTCTCTGTTGATTGCTTCCCAGTGGACGCCAGCTTGATCAATGTTGACAGGAAGTTCTTGCATTTCTTCACATTCTCCATTGTCTCCTGCCAAAAACATTCAGATTATGAACAAATTTGAGTCTCATTCGTGAATAACCACTTTGTACACAGCAGCATGCTTTGCCTTCTTTTATCACTGTCTACTTACAGTATGTACATAGTGTCATAAACCCTACAGTACACTGTTTCAGTACATGCAGACAACCAGCTTTATCTGATCATTCTGGCTTAGCACAACTCACTTTGCTCGCTGTTACTGAGGTAACTGTTGTTCCAGCTGTTTGGTTGACGGTCCTGGGGGTCATTCCTGATACTGCAGCCCCAACTGAGTTCTAGGAAGACATCACCATATTAACATGTTATATAGGTTGTTGAAACGTTTCAAAACCCACTTTTCAAGTCATCACAGGAAAGTGTGGGTTTTAGAGCTGTTTCAAAGTTGATTAAGTGCATCAAAATGCAGGTTCATGAGAGGAAACAGGTGCACTTCTCCTGCACTGAGTTTCAGTTGGGTGCTCTTCCTGACCACCTCTGTCTGATCACTAGCTGCTCTTGTCAGCACTAGAATGCTGACCCATCGGTGTTATCTATAGCCACAAAATGACACATTTTTTTTTAGCAAACTTGAAAAAAAAAAAAAAGCCACTATGCAGGAAATGTATATGCTTCATATCTGTAGTTTCATGTCTGTCAGGCGTGAATCTGTCCTGGATTTGACTCAACTTAGTATTTGGTAATGAACTAACAGGCACATATTTAATTTAAGACAGTTCACAGCTTGAACTAAATGTTGTATTAAATGATGATGACTTCTGATTTTTTTCCCCTCTTCCATTAAAGGCAAATATGTTATCATAAACTACCATTGGGCTTTAGAATAACATCCCATAGACATGAATGAGAGTGCCCACTTTAGGTTCACTTTTTTACATTAATAAACATACATGCGTCTCATTTTCAGTATCTCCTGAGACCTCTGGCTACTGACATTTATTGAATATCTCTTCATAAATGAGTATAATTAAATCAAATAAAGTAAATCCAGGAATCAAGGTTCAGGAATACAAATAAACCCAGAAAACTGAAAAAAAACATTTATTCACACTATGCACAAAATAACACATCCTTTATAGTGTCAGTTTGACACGTAAACTTGTAATATTACAGTGTACTATAATATAATTCAGTAAATGAGGCACTTTGAATCATCCTTTGGTCTGTAGCTTGTTCAAGTTATGGCCACAAAACGATGTGCAACAAGCCCAATGAAAACAATAAGAAATGATTTGACAGCAACAGGTGGGGTTACCTGAAAGATAGGAGGTCTGTGAAGAGCAGTGGTCGAAGGGAGTGACGTTGGAGCTGGACAGCCCTGCCGGATGATAGTGCTGGGAGCCACTTGTCTGTTGATGACAGTGTTTCCAGGAGTCTGGGAGAAGGCACAAAGCATGGCATGATGTGCAACACCAAGTTTCATCATTCTTGAAAAGACATCTACTGACTACATCTAAATACATCAAGAGTAATATTACTTTTATAATGTTGCATACATTAAGGCTAACAATATAAAACAATAACATACAAGCACACTATTTCACATACACCTACACATGAGCCATAATTTTTCTAATATTCCTCTCGACAGGTGCTTCCCTGAGCTGTAGGCAGGAGGGCAAGCTGAACATGGGCTGTAGTACTGACTTTGGCACTGAAGTGGGACATACTGGCTGACCATATAAAGTCCTTCCTAGGCCAGGTTGTGTGATCTTACCTGGCCAGGAGACACGTTTGTTGGTGTAGCTGTCCGAGGTGCCATGCCTCCCTGTGTCTGTGCCTGCATCTGGGCCAGAGCCTGCTGAGGAATCATCAGCAGCTGTCCACTCTCACTGCGTACAAGCACCATCCCTGAACCAAGTCAGAAAATATAAGAGGCCAACTGAATATAATTATACTGTCACATGAAAATCAAACAGTGCACAGCTAAACCACAAAGCAGTGTAAACATGATCAACTAATGTTGTAAATCACCATAAATCATAACAGATCGGTTACTGATGAGTGAGAAGACAACACATATGTTGTGTGTATTATGTACTGGATAACATTTCTATGAGAGTATAATCTTTCAGCGTTTATTTTTACATTCACTGATCAGAGGCAAATGAAAATGAAACCAGTGACTCAGTCAAGTGTGGAATTAACTGCGCACACACAGTGAAAGAGTTCTGACTTCACTCACCCGGGGGGAGCTGGATGTTATGTATACTGGGCTGTCCTGGGGAGGTCTGGGGGAGCCTTGGGGCCAACATCTGGGGCGTCAGGGCTCGGACACCGCCTGGACCAGCAGCTCCCGTCACCGGAACCCGGGGAGCGCTGGAAGTGACCGCCAGCTGCGGTGCGGACTGTATTATTGTTGCGGGTGGCTCTGCCTTGATTATGTGAGACCCTGCACTGACAGACACCGAGTTGGGCGGCTGGCTATTGTTTACAAGCGGGGTTTGTATGGCGATACCTGTCTGACCTGTCGTATTGGCAGCCACCACAGGGCTCGCATTGTTCCCATTCAAAGTTGCGCCCGAACCCGCGGTTTGCATAGGCGGCCGGACGAGTGCCACAGTGGGTCCCGCCGCCTGGCTCACAGGCTGAGCTGAAGCGACAACACTCTGTGAGTTCATGAGAGGCGTCTGAATTACACTGTTGGACGACGGGGGCATTATCGCACCGGCCAGCTCTTTTGACGTCGCTGGTCCACTGTTGACAGATGTGACAGATATCGCAGTGCTGCCGCCGTTACCAGCTCCACTTGTGACTGTCGTCTCCCCAAGAGGGGCAGCGCTGCTTCCTGAATTGTGAGAGCTCATAGTTTGGCTCCCATTGAAAGTGTGCACTGAGTACGAGCCTACTTTCCCCTGGTGATTGGGGAGAGAAGTTACAGCGCCACTAACAACAAGTGTTTTGCTAGGGTCGTGTCCCGCGGTGGAGTCCGTGCTGGCCGTCGACGCATCCATAGTTGAACCATGGGGAGCTCGTTATGATGAGACCCCCTGCACTGTAAACTTGTTTAGAAGGAGCACAAACAATCTTGAATGTGATGGGGCAAGACTCTTGACACATGTACTGTTTTTCTCTGTCACCTCCGGCGCTTGCTTTTCGTGTACACTCGGAGAGACAAAGAGGAAAACAACATTAGTAACGTTAGTTACAGCGTACCTGCTTCGGCAATCGTCTTGACCAAGTCCCAGCTGGACATTAGCTCGCGTTACCCCCTTGTCCCGGAACTATAGCCGTGTAATTACCGGCTGCCTCGTGCCTACCCCAGTGGTTGTTGTGACACAAGAAGGACAGCTGTGACTCAACAACCTGTACAGGACGACAAACTACCGCTTTATTCACCTCTGTGTGTGAAACAGGCTCATCCAGCGGGCCGGGGCCAACCGCCATCTTCACACTCCTGCGAGCTTCTGAGAAGTGAGGTACTTACCAACTGACATGCGCCTGCGCACAACAACTAACCGTCTCCGAGCAGGGATTTCTGCGCGCTGTGATTGGCTGCTCCACATCGTAAAAGGCGGTACCAATGGCTTCAGCTGTCATTCCAGGGGATGCATGAGACGGAACAACATCGTACCGGAGACGAAACGTTTTCATCAAATGTCACTTCGTCGCCGGCCTGTTTATGCTATCACGATAACTGTTCCGTTTCAGAAATGTACCGTGCGAGCGTTGGTCGAGTAATAACGTGGTTTGCAACAAGCTATCCAACCACATTTAAGAGATTTCACTCTCGATGAGCTGTGCAAGATGGCTGCAGTGTTATGGCCAGCAAGTGAAGTTGCTGTTGTAATGAGGCGTTTGAGGGCGCCCCACCCTCCGTTTGGAGAGGAAATATTGTACTGTACTGTCAGCAGTCATGGGATTTAGTGTGGTTAAACCCCACGTGTGCTGACTTTAAGATAAATGCAAACATTAAGTTTAGTGTTTACTCTTACTTACATTTTATCGTTGAAATAAAAATCCAAATGTGCGGTAGGTCCTATGTAATTTATTCAAAAGTTATAAACTTACCGTCTACAGAGTAAACTGTAACCATAACCATGATATGGTAGCCTACTTTTGTGTTAGGGTTCACATTTTCCATATGAGCAATTAGAGAATCCCAATCTTTTTTAGAATATAGGTCTATATATAGCCTACATAGAGTATTGTGAAATGGACATTTGAAAATGTAACGTGTAAACTCCTGAAATAGAAAATAGCCTAGAATAAATGTCCATTTTCAAATTGCCATTACTCAAAATATGAATTCCAATTTCCTGTAAAAGTTTCTTCTTTTAAGCCTACGTATGGCTTTATTAGCTTGAATAGCCCAATATAATATCATAATATAATTATTTGGAGATATATATAAATATAATTTGGATAAAATTCCTTTCATACATATTGGTAGGTGGGAAGGTTAAATGGGACAGGTAAACTCTCATTAAGGTGCCACCAGCGAAAATTAACATTTTAAAAATACACAGATCCACATCCACAAAATACATATCATTAAAATCATGATCTGTTATTTTTGTTGTTATAATAAAGTTAGTGGTTCTCAACTGGTCTCACCTTGGGACACTCATTTTCTCATGGTCATCAAGTTGCAGCCAAGCAGTTTTAAAGAATTCAAACCAAGCAAATTTATTTTTCAAATAGGTTAGTAAACACATATACAATGTCATGATGAAATTATGTTTATTATATATGTTTAACATAAAATGTAGTACACATATTTTCATTCCTGCAATCAGAGTATATTAGGCCTACTACTTATTAAACAGCGTATGAACATCACAACTGCATTCTGCAGATTCTAATGAATATGAATAAAATAAACTGCATAACTGTTTTCATACAAAGTAAGGCCTAAACAATTGTTTGTTTTTACTTATACATTTGTGAAAGCTTTTCTGTCAAAATAAAAGTCAGACATTAGATAACGAAGCATTTAAAATATATATTATTATTTTAATTTTGACTACACACCCATCCAGAACCATTTGGTGACCCACTTTTGGATTCAGGACCCACCAGTTGAGAAAAGTATGGATTAAGTGATAAGTTAAATGAAAAATTATTTGTATTTGGAAAAATATCTGAACTTTATAATGCCACATTTAGATATTTCTATTCAGTGCTTTACTAATGTGTCACAATAATGTAATGTTTTTGAGTTCAAATTCATTTGGGGACTTTTCCAAGCAAATATTGATATATGTGATTGTTTGCGATTTAATCAGCATGTATTTCTGCCACTCACCCTCTTTCTACCCCATGAATATTTCTGTGGATCCGCCTCAGGTCCCGCGTAATTGTATATTGTCTTAACCAGGCTGCCAAGGAGGTATCGACAGACTGTTGTTTCCCGCGGTGTACGCCGGGTGGCTAAACAAACCAAACCTATTTTACGCGCAGGTGACCCAGCAGCGTAGAAGTGCGTCACTGGCAATCTTATAAAGCGCACAGGTGCCCGCTAATTGCGCACATTGCCGATTAACTGATGTCTTTGTGTGCTGTGGTTTAATGCTCTGTGGTTCAGTCGCTGCTTTTCAATTTGAAGACATATTTTCACTGCGAACATGAGTGCTGGAGGAGGGACCCCTTACATCGGCAGTAAAATAAGTTTGATATCCAAGGCTCAGATTCGGTATGAGGGAATATTGTCCTCTGTCGACACTGATAGGTCCACGGTTGCTTTAGCCAAAGGTAGGTCGGTAGGCCGAGGACACACGTGTTTCTCTCTCTTTGACAATCATCTCCATATTGAGTTGTGAACAAAGTATGCTGAAAGTAAACAAAAATCTAACGTTGTTTTTCCACCCAACAGTAAAATCCTATGGGACAGAGGACCGGCACACAGACAGACCAGTGCCACCCAAAGATGAAATATATGAATATATAATCTTCAGAGGAAGTGACATCAAAGACATCACTGTGTCCGAACCACCAAAACCACACCATGGACTGCCCCGTGACCCCGCTATTGTACAGGTGTGTGTGTTGGCTCACTTTTTAAAGTAATTTGCACTTTGTTAAAGGGAGTTAGTTTTGTCTTTAATTTTTGTGCTTTTAGTCATCTGTTGGCAGTTCCTCTGCTGCATATCACCCACGCTGGAGTCCATACAGAGACATGATGCCCACCTACAACCAGCTGGCTGCGAGTTCTCTCCTCAACCAGCAGTACAATGCGGCGTTGGGCTTAGGTACAGTTAATGTTCTTTTGGATGCGTCACATGTCTCTGAAATGTCACTTGGGCTTTCCTCCAGCACTATGGAGTGGCTGTTTCTCCCATGTATCAAGCCCCACTATGTATGTTCCTGTTTTTCTGTACCAGGACTTCACGGCATCCCAGTCAGAAGAGCTCCCATGGTCGAGCAGGCCGTCCAGACCGTGCCGTTGGCCAGTGCTGCCCAGAAAAGGGGGAAGACTTCAGCCCAGCCGCAGAACAGACAGCCGGTTCGTCCAACCCAGCGCTCTGGCCGGGGTGGTTCCCAGGTTCAGAAGGAGAACGTACCCACCAGTAAGCAAACTCAACAGTGGCTCATAACGGGCAACAGAAATCACTCATCCTTTTAATCAAGCTCAAATAAGAAAAAATAACATTTCATTTCTGTTTAGGTCGGGCAACATCTCAGCCCAGTGCAGCCAAGAGTCAAGGCCAAAGCACTGAGAACCAGAAACCAAGGCAAAAGCAAGGTATCAAAAAATGCACTTAAGCCATTTCTTACTGAGAATGTCCACATTTGTCTGTCAGTTCACATCTGAGGGCAGAAATACAAAAGGAACTTTGTTGGTAAACAAATGTTGCTCATCTGTCTGTATATAATCGTTATCTAGTTCTAGAAAATAGAATACAAAGGTAAAAATCTAGATGAACTGCTTCTAAATGGTTACTAAACTAGTTTTGCAGTGTATTCGTTTGAACTTCCTCCGGTGTTTATGTGCAGGCAGTCGCAGGTCCAGGAACAGAAGCAGAGGCCAACTTCTTGTGAAAAACTCGAAGGCCACAACCTTGCAGTTTGAGTCCGATTTTGATTTTGAAACTGCAAATGCTCAGTTTAAAGATGATCTCACAAAGGAGGTTGTAGGTATGTTTTAGTTCAAAAGGATATTGGTTCAGTTTTAAGTGGGGACAATATAAAGCCATTTTAAAGTGTATTTTCATCTTGTGAATTGCTGCAGTTGAAAAAGTAGATTCTGGGGAGGCCCAGGACAGCCAGAGTCTGCAGGAGGAGGAAACTCTAGGAGATAAATACTACGACAAAGCCAAATGCTTCTTTGACAACATCTCATCAGACCTTAAGCCCAGGTGATTATACAACTTCCTTTTTGCCTTTGAGGTTTATTGTGCTCTACAACATCTTTTTTTTTTTTTTGGCATCCTCAGGAGAACCACCTGGGCGGAGGAGAAAAAGTTGAACATGGAAACATTTGGAGTGCCCGGCCGCTTTCTGAGGGGCAGAGGGTTCAGGGGCCGAGGACGTGGAGGGCAGAGTGCCACAGAGCAGCGACCCCTCCCAAAAATTGGTAGTGGGAGGGTGTAAAGGCTTTTCTTTGTTAATAATTTCTGTAAATATTGTAGTTTTCTACTTATTTAAAAAGTACCTCCCTTTTTTCCCCATTTGAAGCAAATGTTTTGTTTTTTTCCTTTATCCCAAATATGCATTTAGGGAATTTTGTACTTTGAACCTTAATATTATATTAAATGGGAGAGTGATTTCTTTTAATCAAGCAGCTGTATGCTAGAAGCACATTTATTCATTGGTAGTCTGGTAAAATGCAATGTGGAATTTGTCTTCAGAACAAGCCAGCAAACAAGATATTATTTTTTTGGGTTTTTTTTTTTTGCTTAATGTACTAAATTCTTGTCTACTTGACTGTCCAAATGTAACTCGGAATTGCTTTTGTAGGACAGCTGTACTTATTTTTATTTATTTTTTTCCCCCTACTTGTAAAAAGAAAACTGTGGAGGACTTTGTAACAGTTGCTATTAAATAACATGACTGAAAAAGTGGCTTTCGTCTCGGTTGCTGCAACTTGTCATTGAAGAAACTGCTGAAATACAGAATCTAAAGATTTTCATAATGTATTTTAGCACCCATCAACCGAAAAATTTAAAATTAAAAAATCCTTGCTTAAAGGGCCTGTGTGTAACATTTAGAGGTATGAAATGGAATACAGTTTCAGTATGTTTTCATTAGTGTATAATCACCTGGGTATAGGAATAGTTTGTTATAGATGAGCCGTTCATATCTACAGGTCGCCTTCCATGGTTTCCGCCATGTTGAACCACTGTTTCTACAGTAGCCCAGAAGGGGGAGAACGCATACTGGCTCTAGATAGGGGTGTTAATGGTTTTTGTGCATATTGTGGTCACTATAGTTTCTCCTTTTTGCTTGGAGGGTGAATTAAATCCTACACACTGGTTGTTTTTAAGAGCAAAAATATGTTGGTTATACAAAAGACGGGTTCAGTTTTGTATATGTGGTGGCTTGCAAATGGAAGCTAATCGGTTGAACTTGGGGCCCAAGTCTTTCAGCACTTTCTGGAATGAATTATTGTCAGGAATGGTGATGTCCTCTAGCTCTGAGAGGTTGTCAGAGTCCCCCTCATCTGCATAGAGGTGAGGCTGATCGCCCAGCAGATCTTCCTCCCTCTCCTGGAGAGAGGAGACCCTCTGCAGAAAGAGTCGAAAATCAAAGTAGAGTAAATTCAGTACTTGTTAGCAGACATTATGATACTGTAAGTGCAACACCAACCTGATGAAGCAGGGCTCGGACAGTTGTGTCTGACTCATAGCTTGAGTTCCCTTTGTAGAGGAAATTTCCTGTGCTCACGTCCTTAAAGTTCACAAAGATTAAGTTTATTCAGCAGCTGTGTCAAATTAACATTTAGCACATACCAAACCAATGTTACTCTACCTGGTGGCCGTCATGGGAGCCATTGGCGATTAGAGATTTCCAAGTTTTCTAAGATTGGAGTAAAGATCATTTTATATTTTAAAGTTGTGACTGATATAATAGAAATTCAATAAGTGCATACTACCTGGTTCCAGTCACAGAATAGGTAGGACATATTTTCTCTTCTGTAATCTCCAAAGTTTTTGTGGCTAAAGTTTTCATCCATAACCTGTTGAAGAGACTGACAGGAGAAACAGGGATAAACAGCTGAGTTAACATACGGTAGGTCCACACATTAGTGTGAAAACACCTGTAGAAGACCAACTGGGTGCTCCTCAAACATATCTTAACAATGGTACACAGACCTATTTCAAGTTTTGCAGTTTAACCAGTGACAAAAGTTTCCCTGTATCATTTCCATCTGTACCCACCTTGGTTAAAACCTGTCTGTGTTGCATTCCATCATGCTGACTTTGCCAGTCAGATAGGTCATGGTGCCTCTTATAAGGTGACATTGCCAGGAAACAGTCGGGTAGCTTGAAAGAAGAAGAAAAAAAAGATGTCTACATGAAGACAAATCTTGATACGTATCACTGGTTTGTTTGCAAATGTTTCTGAGCAGTGACCTTGCAGTCTGTTCCTGCTTTCTCAATGTTTGATGAAAGGAGGGTTTGTCCAGAGGAGTCAGCGCTCTGCAAAGTGGTGAACTCTTTTTTGCAGGTGATGACAACTGCCATCAGCATCAGAACTGACGGAGAGGACAAAATTAAACTTGCAGTGAGTTATCAGAATTGTTTCCATTTGCAATTCATGCCCGTTCAGACAGGCCTGCTTGGCTCCCAGAGGTGCTGCTTGCAGCAGTATTGTGAAACGCTCATCTGATCGACTTCACACTCAACACAGCCCTCCCTTGGGTCCTCAGCAATACATCCACCAAGTGTGAAGTCGATCGGATGAACGGTTCAAGAGATATACAAAGGGCAGACATAAACACGTACATAAATACAGGGAGATGGGCAGACTGACAGAAATTGCTTCCTTTATAGTTAATGCTGATACAGGGCCACCTGTTGGTTAAATGGCACCAAATTTGGCACGGTCACTCAAACGTCATATCTACATATGTCCGCCTAATGTGGATGCAGTAGCACAAAGAGATATGACATGTTATCTAATATAAGCCTTTGCATTTGACTTTACTTTAACTTTAAGCAAAACTCAAATCAAAATTCAAAATCCAAAAAGTAACTTTTTCCTCAAATAGCTTCCAAATGGTGAAAAATCTAGAATTTAGAATTTAGAATCTATATTGTATTGAAAAATTAGTTCCCATATGGGTTCGTATCCAGACGTTTTATAAAGTTATTTGGGTCCAGGTCGGGTTTGTCTAACATTATTTGTAATCATGGATCTCTCAAAATCCAGAAAAAAACATTATTCTTGAGATCTACAGTTCAAAGGTTACAGGGTAAAACATAAAGTTTGTTGTTATAGCACCACTATCTGGCCAAATTGCACCTAATTTGACACTGCATTTCCCTGGGTTCTCAGCAATACACTCGCCAAGTGTGAGGTCAATTGAATGAACCGTTGTTGAGCAATTTGAAGGACAGACAGACATTCACACAGACGGACAGAGAGTCCTTCAGTAGTTGGAAACATATTGCAGTATTCTCCAACACTAATCAAAGTCAATGATTCAGTTTCTTACACAGGAGTAAAAACAGTGAGGCAAACGCTATGCCGATAGCACCAAAGGCAGCTTTTGTGGCAGTGTCTCTGTGGCTTTGGCAATTGGCCGTCACAGAGCAGTCACACACAGTCACACTGATGTTGTAAATGCCAAATTCCCCCTGTATGTCAGAGATCCTCAGTTTAACTGTGTGTGGTCCAGAATACACACCAGGCTCCTTCACCAGACCAGCTGTGTACCCTGTGAGAAATAATCACACAATTAAATAGGTGGGTTTTTTAGTGTTTGTTATAATATTGCCCTACACAGCAGAGCAGCTTCTACCATATGAGGGACTCAGTTTCCATTTTCCTTTGACATCTCCCAGCAGTTGAAATAAGAACGGCCCTCCAAAGGGATTTCCATCCAGGTCAAAGGCTGTGATGTTGGTGGTGGTGGGGCCGTCAGACACACACACATCCACATTATCCACTGTGAGCTGAGGCACATTGTCGTTCTGGTCGGTCACATGGATGTTCAGTGTGGCTGTACCTGTCAAAGGTGGATTACCTGTCACACAGAGAAAAACAAAGTGGCGGATATTTAATTAAAATTTTAACTTTAAAGCTTAAATGCTTGGTGTGTGTCCATGCCAACGGCAGCACATTAGAGTTTTACCATCATCCACTGCGTGCAGTAAGATGGTGTAGATGCCGTTAACAACATAAGGAGATTCTCTGTCGGGTGCCTTGAGTGTTGTGATGTCTCCTGTGTGGGGATCCAACGTCACCCAGCCAGCAGGATCATTTCCTACCTTGTACCTGTGGAAAAACACAGGTTTCTTTAGTCTAGCAGGTCCCAGAGAGCTCAAACATGTTGGAATAAACATCCAACTTACACAAAGTCACTGGCGTGACTGGAGTCGGGATCACTAGCAATCACTTTCTCTACCCAGGTTCCAATGGGTGCGTTCTCCTCCAGCATAGCCTCTTTGACAGTCACACTAAACACTGGGGGGTCGTTGGTATCCTCAACCTCAATGAGGACTTGTACAGAGTGAGGATCATCACCTGTACTGGTGTCAACTTTCCAAAGGCCAGAGGATGTCCGCTCTTTCACTTTACAGGAGAAATATGGCATCTCATTTTCCACTGAGATGGAGAGCTCCCTCTGTGCTCTTTCCTCATAGTCTAAAGGCTGAAAATAAACAGGCGTTACCTTAATTTGTTAATTCATTATGTGTTGTTAGTCAAACATTTTTTAAATAGCTCAGAATATAAACATGTCAACTTCAAGTCTGAGCAGACAACACAACAGTAGTTATAACTTGTCAGACTGGAGGTGGGTGTCACTGTAATGTAAAGCATGCAGCCAAACAGCACTTACTTTAACTACTTTCAGGATTCCATCATTGGTGTCTGCGTCTGTTTCTATTGTAAAGTGCTCTCCGTCTTCACCCTGTATGGTGTACTTGACTCTCCATGCCAGGCTATTCGGGGTGTCCTTGTCTGTCACATGCACCCGCAGAGGAGAGGTCCCGACCTCATCTTCTTTCACTTTGCCAGAACCCTTTTATATGAATCCAGAGGTCAGGGGGAAAATTGCAGAAACCTCTTACTGCTACTATCGAGCATGTGCTGTACACACCCTGTGGTAATAACCGTAGCCTACATTTTGCATATTTGCATATTGCAAATTGGTTTAAAGAAGATCTAGTTCCCACAGGAAGGAGGAACATACAAGCAGATTAAAGAAGTTAATAAAATGGAGAAAAATACCTTTATAATGAAACTACTATTTATCCTCTTATTAAAACATTTCTTAAGTCTATAAAATGAACATAAAAGATGAATAAGTTTATGTGAAGCCATTATGCAACTATTTTATTTTATGAGTTTCTTTAGTTTTGTGTTGGTTTGCTTGCTTGTTTTGATTTCATCCCTACAACTACATTTTCTTTACAGTTTCCATAGTTACAAAACAATAAAAATGTTGCCCCTTATTTCCATCATTGTAGCTTTTCAAAGATGAATGTTTTGAGTAAAACATAATTTCCTGTCATTTTCCACATGGCCACAGCAATATGTCACATCTAACATGCACTGTACATTATACATTGAAGGTATGTTTAAAAGCATGAAGAACTGTGTGATCTGCAGAAATGATTGTGATGTTGTGGAGAAATTATCAACCAAGATGAACCTACTGTTTGTCCACTGATGGTTGGGAGATGGTTGTTGCCGTCCTTGACATGAATGACAACCGTAGTTGAACTGGATAGACTGACTGCTTCACCATGGTCCTTGGCTTCCACCAACACTGTAAACATTTCAGCCACCTTAATATAAGCAGATAAAGATATATTTAATACTTTTATCTTGTATCTAAATCTTACAAATCAACTTAATCTGAACTTTGCACAATATGTGTTGAATGCATTACAGTGAACCCTATAATACATCTATTGGATGTCACTGAGACTCATATAGATAATAAATGAAAAAAAACCTCCTCCATCGTAAATTCCACCCTGCAGCTGGTTTTAGTTGACACATTGGCTAAGTGTTTTTACCTTTAATACTTTACATGTAATTAGACAGTGCTGCATGCTGTACATAGTAGCATAAATACTACATATAATATTTTACCCCCCCTTGCCTCATGATCCAAACATCCTTTGAATGAGATTGTTCCTCCAAACTCATCAATGAAAAATTCGGTGTCTGGAAGGTTTGGAGTGACAGATTTGATTTCATAGTGGAACATTGAGTTAGGTGTTCCTCTCTGGTCTCTGTCATAGGCCACAACTGTCAGGACATGGGATCCTGTTGGGAAATTACAGAACTCTTCAGGCTGTTCAACAACAAATAAAAGGGGCATACCTAATACATTGTAGGTAACAAAAAGGTTTTAAAAAAATGACTTCGTTTATAATATTCTTTACCTTGTGCATTTTCCTCAGCAATGCTGATTTCATAGAGATCCCTCCGAAAGCGTGGTGGGTTGTCATTGATGTCCCGTATTGAAATCTCAACTCCTACTTTAGTGTCAATTGATGAATCTGTCTTTCTGGCCTCAAATTTCAGCTATATACACATTGAAAGATATGACTCAAAGTTAGCCACAATATATAAACAATGCATATGACATATGATATTATTTAAGAATTTCTGGATTTAAAAGGTACATTTTCTTAAGTCTGTCTTAAAACAATGCTCACTTTCCCATATGTACTGTTTAATTAAACAGTTTTTGGTTGCTATAGTAATTTCTTCCGTACATACTGGCCCTGAAAAGATCCCGTCCTAATGCAGTTACAGTGTAAGTGATGTTGGACTAAATCCACAGTAGCTGTTAGTCAAAGAAATGTAAGTTACGCTCTTTTTAGTATGACATTTCCTCATTCCCCCTGGACAGTGTTTCCTAGCTGAGTTGTGGTGTAGGAATAGTAAGATATTTTGTCCTAAAAGACTAACTTTGGAAGAAATGTGTGTGGCTAACTCAAACTGCTAAGTTCCTCATATTGACTTTGACTGAACTAAGGAAGGTATGTTTGCAGTATTATTCAGTTTCACTAGTAAGACATAAGAGTGGAATATTCCCAATCATCGTTCAATTAGACAAACTATTTAGAGCAATCAGTCTGAGCACTTTCTGCTGTTTAAACTCATTACCATTAACTATATAACAGCACTAATCCTAATCACTGTGTAGAAGTTTACAGCAGTACGGATAAGATGTCAGTGTGTAATATGTGTTGCGTCTAACCTTAAGCACTGTCTTCTCCTCATAGTCCACAGGCCTGTGGACATACACGGTGCCAGATTCTTTATGAATGGAAAGGACTCCCTTTGGCTCCTCATCCACTCCTTCCCCAAAAAGGTCAAAGTATACTTGATATTCCCGCTCAATATTTATCTATGACACATCACCAGACAGTTTTTAGTCTGCTTTTGGTAATCTGGCAGTCGCAAAGACTGTATTATGAGCTTTGCATTCAAATGGTAATGTTTTATATTTATTATAATCAATAAATAAACTTCAAATCAAAAAGTTTGAGTTTAATTATTACATAGCATTTTCTGGTGAAACTACACAAAGTCTGACTAGTTTTCTTTACTCAGTGGTTTTCTCACCTTGCCCAGCACATATGGAAAGGGCCCTGGGTGCCCCTCCTCGATTGTGAAGGAGTCAATGATCCAAGACCTTCTGTGACGGCTCAGCACATCTGAGCATTTTGCACTTGACAAAAAAAAAACCTAAAAGACATATAGCCAGCCAAATGTTGAAGGTCACAGTGAGAGTCATGGTATGCAAAGTATGACTGTTTGTTGAAGGCGCTCATAATTTATGTCATCTGTTCACTTTTGGAATGAACTCATTTTTCCAATAGTTGGTGAACCAGTTCCAAAGTGTACACACAGATACTGTGTGCATTCAAGAGATCGGTTTTACACCAACAACTGCTTTCTTGCTAAAGAAGACAATAGATTACATGGAAATCAGCTGTACAGTACATCCTTGAACTCACAAGCCAGCAGAGTGCTGGAAAATTATATTAAATCTGTTTTCCATAAATGATTAAAATCTTTCAACTGTATTATATAATTTAAGGTAATATTGTGTCAAACTTTTATTCCCAAATAAATCAAATTAAATATTATCATCTATAAAGTCACTGTAATAGCCTTTAATCTGAATTTAAACTAATTTCAGAAAGTTTTGAAGTCAGTGTTGCTACATACCAGGAGGAAGAAGCAGAGCATGATGCTTGTCAGCACATCCAGTTCAGAGTGTTCAAAGACTATTCTGACATTTGAAAGAAGACAAGACCCTCCCCCTATCCTGCTGTACACACCCACACACATGAATGTAATAATTACAATGTGTGAGTGTGTTCAATCTATAACCTTCGACACGTCACTGTTTGCCAACAATGTTTTCTTAAGAACTGAATAATGCTTGCAGTGATTAGTCCTTTTGAAACACTGCCCCATAGTTACCTGCCCATAATGTGCAGTATTTGCTAAACAAACCTTGCTCTTTTAAAAAGACTGATACATAGATCATGTCTTTTTTATGCTTGGTTTCTTGTGAATCAAGCCTTTTTATGAGGCTGCCCCCACAGGTTCTGGTCCCCCTGAAGCATTTTTTAAATATAGTCTGGTAGCAGGTAAGCACTTGTTTACACCTAAAACACCTTGAACCTGCAAATGTTTACTTGATTCTTAGAAACACATGGATACATTTTCCCACCTTCCTTTATTGTTAAAACAAAGAAATCTTGTGAGAGATACATTTCAAATTAGAGCTAGAAAACATAATTTGCATTGGTAGGACAAAAACAGTACATTGAATAACTTGAAGTCTTCTCTTGCCAAATGTACCTCAATTCATACTTCACTGCTTTAATGTCCTGGGTTGTGTTAATACTGTACAAAATTCATCGTTCATCAGCTAAAAGGGCCTGTGGGATCGGAAAGAGGGGAACAAATCTCGTCCTTCAAAACATGCCAAAACAAGAATGAAAACAGCTGACAATTAATACGAAATCTCCATATGTCGCCATCTCCAAAACACACACAGAACCTAACCTATAACTCGAAAATAAAAGGAAAGGTTGAAAGCGGTGATAAGAGTCACTGTGTGGAAGACAGCAGCAGCTGAGATGCCTTTTTCAATAGCGTGCATCCCATCCAGTCCATCCTTCGCCCCCGGCCAAGGCGTCCACTACTGTGCCACAGGGTGCGTCCTAGGAAGACGATGATGGAGTCTGACTTCTCACCTTCTCTATCTCTGGAGGTGCGGCTCTTCGCTTGAATGTGCTGGTGTGTGTTTCCTCGTCGTCTGACCTGACTACAGGGGTGTCTGCTCCGTTGGCATTGGTGGTCTGGCTGTCGGAGGAGGAGTTTGAAGATGTGGAGGACATGCGGGACTTGGCCTCAAGACCCTCAAGGACATGTCGAAAGAGTCCATTACTAATGACTTCCTCGTTGTTGTTGTTGTTTCCTTGGACTGTGAGTCAGATAGAAGATATTGTTAGGGATGTAAGCATGCAGTGTGTCTTGTAATCTCTGTTCTAATTTCAGGTTTTCATACCTGGCAGTGGGGAGGTCATCACCCCCTCTTCTCCCCCAGAGCTGAAGAAGACATCCAGTGCCTCCTGGTCAGAGATGTCAATCAGCTCCATCTGGTCCAGCAAGTCCACGTTCACCTCCATGGATGAGATGCTGCCGATTGGAGCTGCAGGAGAGGGGAAGCAGTAAAATGATGTGCATCTGTATTTGAACATGCATTCGTGTATGCATGTGTTTACAGAAGTGCCACCAGTCCAACTCACGTCTCTTGTAGTCTCGGATGCAAAGGTGCGCCGAGGACAGGTATACGTCCACATCATGCTGGAAGACCTCCTCGAAGAAACGCTGCCTCTCTCTCAGCTTGAGCTGCTGTGCTGCATCCACATCTGGGATCCTCTGGCCACGCTCGGTTTCCGCTGGTAGTCACAACAAGAGGACAGGGAGTGAGATACCAGCTCAGGTAAAGGTTTATACCTGATACGGTATACAATTTCAAAGCCAAAGAGCACAAAGGGCTGCATTCCAATCAAAGACTTCACAAGGCATTTAACAGACAAGATCCTCAGTCCCTTGTTGTGCCAATCAGTGAGATTGCTTTCTGTTGTATAATGTGATTTTAGTCACACAGGAGTCAAATGTTGGTAGCCAGGAGGGGGAGACATTGAGCTGTAAGTGAGAGACATATGAGGTGGAATCTCCTTTTAATGGGCTCTGCTAAGATTGTCTTTTGAAATATAACATAGCAAGGAGACGTGCTGAAAAGTCAAGCACATAATCACATCTAATAAAAGATGTTGCTGATATGTAAACTATGAACAACTGTTTTAATTTGCCACTGAACTTTCATTTTTTTATGGACTATTATTAATTCCACACTGCTTCTTCTGATAAAACAAACTGTTGCTTTTATCAGGACACTAATTAAACAAACTCTGAGCATCCACACTGTACTAGCCTGCACATCAGCCCTGAACCACAGATTGATCTGCAAAAACAAGCTGTCAGGTCCTTTACTAAGTTAATCTTGTTTGAGATACCATACTATCCCATTTTCCCCCTCCTCATCACCGCTGTAATAAAGCTGAGTGCAAGTCCAATGTGTGTGAGTGGAAGGGTGAATTGCAGCAGTGAGACTGCAAGAGAAATGATGTAGAGCATAAACTCTGAGTATGCACTGACAACTGTTGTAGTCTTTTATTATAAAGTACATTTACACTCTTTCTCCCTTTACTATATCTTACACAGTCAATAGAATAGTGTCTGAGTTTTGAGGAGAAATTGCTGCCTGCAGGCAGGGATTGAGCTAATTGGATGAGGCTTTCAAGCCATGTCTAAACTGGGAATAATGTCAAGATTATCTAGCCTACGTTGAGAGCAGCAGTCACAGCAGCTCTATTAATACACCACTGGGTGATGGAGGAAAGACATTCAGCTCAGGATGTTTACAGTACCAGCAAAGGAAAGGATTCCAGGGATTCTCTCTGTTCTCTGACAATATGACATAATAAAAGACTCCCATTGACACAACCTGACTCATAATGGTCCACAGTCATGACTCAGTAACTACTGCAGTCAGAATAAAGCTGCAAACAGTAAATCCAAAAAATTTAGATGTTGCCTAAAAGCAGCAACAGGTCGCCATCCACAGAGTGCAGTCCTCCCCACAAGTCATGCCCCAAGCACGTCTGTAGCAACGGGAGGACACGCGCCTGTCGCTGCAGCTCTGCTCTGCCCAGTCTGATGTCCTGCCTCCTGGGAACAGGGACCTCACAGGCTCCGGGATCAGATAGGCAGACAGCTTTGGAGAGAAGTGAAGAAGAGGACAACTCAAACCCCAGGGCTGGACTGACTGACAGCACCAATGGGCATACAGTATATGTGCAGAACCCGGAAATATAAACAGGATTCCCCATAGACCGAAAACATAAAAATCTACAAGCAAACTGACAGCAAAAAGTGATGAGCTGACGATACCTGCATCGACACAGTCACCATACTGCTGCTGTATGTGTTCCCCTTTGCATCCTTATGTTGTGTTGTGCTTTTCCCACATGGATGCTTACTTACTTCATTATAATAATGAAAATGTATATGATCTTGTCAGTTCTCAGTAATCATAAATTGCTTTTTAACGTGATATAACTTTGTCAAACACAATATCAATAGTGCAGTAGTTTGGTTTTTAATCTGCATAATGAATACAATAGTCTGATAAACCAATGTATGCTTTTTTTGGACTTTCAGACAAGCTTGGTTGGAGATTCAGGTGTAGTAGCCGTTAGCCGTTAGCCTCACGCAGAGATGAGGAGAGAGTTACAGAGGTTTTCAGCCCCCAACAGGCGCTGACTCGAGTGACTTTAATTTATCAGGGGGCTTTATACACTTTTTTTCTCACATGCCATTGAAGTCCCTGAGACCGGTAGACAGATTTTGATCTGCTCTTTACCAAACAGAAGAGACAAAAAACAGGTGTCACTACAAGTGCCCTGCAGGTGATGTAGTGATTATGACTGTGCAGTGAAGGAGTCTGACAGTACCGCCAGCAGGGTGCAACTGCTCTTTAATAGCTGCAAATTTACAAAAGAAAACTGATACCCTCAGATGGCAGGTGAATGATTACAAGTTGTTTATCTTGTGTCAGTCATCTTTATATGACATTTTCTCTTTGCAGCACTTCTTTGTGTAGACGTCTGAGGCTGTGAGTCTGCAAAGCTCTCTTCGCCTTGCACTTTTACACAATCAGAAACACTTTTGTCAAAGGGAGCAGCGCTGACAAAGCAAGATGTCAGTCACAATCAGGAGCTGCCTGTTTGACGTGTGTGTTTGGATGAAAAGAGCTCCTTGTTTAATGTGACCAGCCGAGGACATCGTGTCAGACAAAACACTGGATTTGTACTGGATGGATGACCATCCTTTCTTTTCTGTCAAAAGGAGAGCAGAAAGGACTCGTGATTACGTGTTTGTGTTGCAACTGTCTCCAAGAAAATGATGCTTTTCATTACAGGCTGCAAGTTTAAAGAAAATTGCTTATCCTGGAGTATTTTCCCACTTAGTTAACACTAATTGATCACAACATTGATTATTTTCTACTTAAAGGCTGAGGCCTGTGGAGAGCTAAAGGTTAGCTACAGATGTATATCCTCACATCGATTTTGCTTCCCTATCCAGTTCTTTTTTCCATTGAATCACTTTGATCAATACGTCTTCCCTGGCCACGGACGACCCGTGTGACCTCTAATTAGTGCAAACAGTCACACGGGAAAATCCTCTGTCACAAGAAAACCCTGGCCACAGTGTCCACATGAGGTCACATGTCTGGTCTGCTACAGCCACAACCCAAAGTCTTCAGTTTCATAGCACAAGATGTCTGAAGGGCCTGAGAGAGTGAGTGAGAGAGAGCGAGAGAGCAGGAGAGAGAGGAGACGAGAGAGTAAACCAACCAGTGCAGACTGAGTTTGACGCCGGGTGATCTTCTGCTTTCTTTGTTTTCGTTCTTTCTCTTTCCCTCTCTCTTTCTGTCCTTTTTCTATCTTTCTCTGTCCTTTTGTCCTTCTGTGTTTCTTTCATCTATATTTCTACCTTTCTTTCTCAAAACTGACTCTTTTATCTGTTTTCTACTTTTTCATTTTGTCTCTTTCTGACTCCCTGTCCTCATTATGTCTTTCTGTCTTCATGGGTCTCTCCGTAAATCTTTCTGTCTATCTTTCTTTTGTCTTTCTTTCTGTCTCTCTGTCAATCTTTACGTCTGTGTTTCTGTCTCATATTCTGTCTTTTTCCATCTCTCTTCCTGTCTTGTTCTTTGTCTTTCTGTCTCTCTTTAGTTTTTTCTCTTATTTTATTAATTTGTCTTTTTAGATAAATATTTTTTTCTTTATTTCTCCCTGTCTCTCTGTCTATCTCTTTCTTCCAGCCTTTCTCTCTCTCTATCTCTCTCTCTCTCTCCCTCTCTTTCTATCCCCCTCCTTTCCCTCTGTCTCCCCCTCCTTCCTTCCTCTGAGTGTTCAGGGACTTGAGAAAGAAAAGGTCATAGATCAGGGCTCAGGACCAGCTGGACATGCAGAATGACTGGAACAGACAGAAAGATGGAGACAGACAGAGTGGACCGGACGTGTATGTGTGCCACTGTGCCTCCCCACATAAAGACAAACCCAGCTCCTCCGCTCAGGGGGCAGTGAGAGAAAGGGCCCATTCAGAGACAGACAAAAGCAGAAATGTAGAGGAATGGGACTGGCCTGCACTCCTTAGACATGATGCCGTTTACAGGAAATAATTTTGGTTGGATGTAGTGGAGGGTGAATACACCTAAACTCAGCCTTCACTTTGTTTAGTAGAGTTACATTCTTAAACTATGGCTATCTTGGTTAAATTCTTTCTTTTCTTATTTAATCTTCTTCGTTCATTACATTGTTTTTGCTTAAATTAAATCCACATGAAAACTGTGTCATGGTGAGACAGAACTCTCCCAGCTGCCAGCAAATATAATGCCTCATCCCCACATGATGATACAGAGATTGTTTAATGCTCTTCTGTCTTCACTATGACTATATCTTATTTTCTAAACAGGGCTCATTGTATCTATTGTAAAAACCTTACATATGCAAAGACTGAGTTCACTGTCTGTATCTATGTAATATCTGAAAGTCATGTGCCTTTTTCTACTGACATGTTTTCAAGCTGGCATAGATGCACCAGCAGATAAACAGCAGAGGCAACACATTGATCTAGAGGCTAAATGAAGGGATAGGAGGGCCCGGTGTCGCCCACAGGCTGCCATTAGCCCATCACTGTGCTAAATGAAAATGTGAGCTCACTGGCAGACTCCCCTGTGACGGGGAAAGGGAAGGTCAGGGTAGAACGGAGCAGAGAAAACTGCCTCTCCAGATGATCCTGTTGTTTTTACACTTGTTGCTCTGGCTATAACCCCTTAGTAAACAGTAGTTAAACAGAACCCCCAGTGGGAACCATCGTTTGCTCGTCTGGTTTCATTATAGAACAGTTTGCCAGACTCTCAGTTTGAGTCTATTTATCCAAGCAAAATAACTTTTTCTTATTCCAGTGGATGAGGTCATCCCTGTTTATTGGCTGTGGTAGCGGGACGGACTTCCATGTGTTGCCTCAGCCATCCCACCATTAGATTTAAATAGACTGCCAAGAAAAACTCTACTGATGTCTGACTTACTGCATTTTCCCTGTTGTGCATGTAAGTAAGACCCTTTACATAATGAATATGTGAAAAAATTCTGAAATATATACAGAAATAAATATAGCAATAATTAAATAAATGAATAAATATATAGATAAATGCTCAAATGAATAATGAAAAAAACATTTAAATATGGCAATAAATAAACAAATGGGTAAAATGTATAAATAAATGCAAAAAAAATACAGAAATAAATGATTAATAACAAATACA